AAAAAAATAATCAAACTCTTAAAATCGTGAGAAGGATTGATCAGTCCGTACTTTACCGAGGGGAAAAAATACAAAAAAAACAGAGTATTCAGACCCAATAGTCGTACAAACATTCAGTTCTTGTGGCAGACAAGCCTGCTGCTCGAGAGGCTTCACGTTAAAAAAAAAAAAAAAAACACCATAGAAACAAAAAAATACAGGAGGGGGGGGGGGTGTGTGACTGGTTTTGTACTGCCGTGCAACGCGCAATTATCTCACTGCTTGCTCATTTCGTGAATGCTTTTGCTGTATTTCCAACACATTACATTCTGCTTCAGACTGCGATCGTATTCGAGGCGTTTGCCACCAATGACATCGACACAAAGGTGATGCATTTGTGAATGTGTTTGAATGTGAATTTGTGTTTGATTGTCAGCACAGCACTCAACTGGCGTGATCAAATACATATCATCACAATGCCATGTGCTCACATATGCCTCCGTGGTACACGTGTGTGTGTGTGTGTGTGTGTGTGTGTGTGTGTGTGTGTGTGTGTGTGTGTGTGTGTGTGTGTGTGTGTGTGTTGTGTGTGTGTGTGTGTGTGTGTGTCTATTCAGGATGAGCTGGTGCTGCCTGAGCTGATGCGCGAGGCCAAATCGCACTCCACGCGCATTGCCTACCGCGTTGGCCCAGACGAGGATCATGCATGTACGTGTGCTCGTGTCGGTGTCTGCTGCCCCTTTGCATTATGTTGCTGCCACCTTTGTTCGCTGTTCTTGTGCACACGCCCAACTTTTGACCTCCTGTATGCTGCTATTTACCCCCCCCCCCTCCCAATCGCTTCTGGTCGTTACGGCCGGCGTCTCACACCATTCGCCTCCCTTTTTCATGCTCGTTTTGTTGCTTCTTTCTTGCTTGCAGTTGGTGTTGATCCAAAGCTGCTGCAGATTTCCCCGCAGTTCATGCAAGAGCTTGACTCCTCGCACGTGGAGGTACGCAGCAAACACACACACACACACACCACACACGCATGCATGGAGGAAGGACTCCCTGCAGTGTTTGTGCCCCTACTCGCCATGTCAACGTCACACTTGGCCTCAACCGCCAACTGCTTATGACGAACACCACCATTACGCTTCACTGTCGATGTTGCGCATCAGCCGTCGGACCGCCTGCACATGTGGCCGCTCCACCACCGCATTGCACGCAGCAGCGACGATGGCGATGATGATGATGATGATGCAGCGAGTGTGGCTGCGAGGTGAGACGCCATGTGTGGACGGTTGTGTACATGTGGACAGTGAGCTTACCTGTCTGTTGTAAATGGAACCACGCCTGCATTCTTGAACCACAAAAAGTTTCAAACACGCACACGCTCGCACACACTGCCATACTCACGAACGCAATTGCCCATTCACACACCCGCGCGTGCGTGCATATCAGGTTGTTGGCGTCGACAGATGCTTCGCCAGCTGTGCAGGCCAGCGCGCTCGCCATGTTCCAGTCCATCCACGCAGCAGGCGACAACGGGTTCGTTCGCGTTCGTTTGTGCGCTCTGCTCGTGTGTGTGTGTGTGTGTCTGTCTGTCTGTGTCTGTGTGTCTGTGTGTGAGTGTGTCTGTCTGTGTCTGTGCGTGTGCTGAGGGAGCAAGTGCCTCGTGTATTCCCTCATGTCGAGTTCGTTATGCTTGCCATCGCCCCCCTCCCCCACCTCCAAATCAGCATCACGTGGGAAAGCCTCTCAGCATCGTCGTTGCCACCGCCGCCGCCACCGCCCTCTCTTGGCCCGGACGCGACCACATTGGCAGCGATTGCGCTGCTGCTGGAGCGAGGCGTGGTGGCCTGGGTGCCCATGCGCAGGTACCCTGACGGGACTGATGCCACGCACCATCGCATGCACACGGACGATGACGACGAAAACGGTGGCGATGGTGGTGGTGATGATGATGAGGACGATGATGATGATGATGATGAGGATGAGGATGAGGATGCAGATGCTTCGCCCTCGAGCGACATGGACAAGAGTGACGGAGATGACACGAGAAATGACCGGACAGGCCGTCCGGACGCGCTGGAGATGCGGCTCCTCGCCATTCCGTTTGCACGCGAATGGACAACCAAAGGTGTGTGTTTGTGTGTGTCTGTGTGTGTCTGTGTGTGTGTGTCTGTGTCTGTGTCTGTGTCTGTGTCTGTGTTTATGTCTGTTTGTGTGGCTTGGCCTGTTCGTGTGTATTATGTGTCTGCTGTCTGCACTGTCACTGCGCAACCACACTGTTTAACATGGCCGCACCCTTGCCTTGCTGTGTCGCCACGCGAACGTGTACGCGATGACCACAGCCGGTGTTGTTCCGCACGCGTGGACACATGTGCGGGAGGATGCGATGCAGCATGGCATCTTCGACATCACCTGCGACGCCGTTCTGCGCCATATCTGCCTCAACCCGGGCATCTCCATCGTGCGTGTTGTTGTTCTTGTTCTTGTTCTTGTTCTTGTTCTTGTTCTTGTTCTTGTTCTTGTTCTTGTTCTTGTTCTTGTTCTTGCTTAGCTGTCGTGTCCTGCCATTCTCGACGTATGTCTCCTGTTTTCTCACATTTGATCACTCTTCGCTATCCTTCCCCTGCAGTCGGATCTCATCCAGAAGCTGTTTCCGTTCTCCCAGGTTTACGATACACTGGTAAGAACGTGTCTTGTGTGTGCGCGTGTGTGCGTGTGCGTGTGTGTGTGTGTGTGTGTGTGTGTGTGTGTGTGTGTGTGTGTGTGTGTGTGTGTGTGTGTGTGTGTGTGTGTGTGTGCATCGATATCAGCGACTCTCCTCTGCTTCTTTGTGTTTACCCATCCACTCATGTGCTCGCCCACGTGCATGTCCACTCCGACCTGCTCCGTGTGGCATTGCTGTACCCCGTGCCACCGCCAGGCCTGCGTGTGGTATCTGCTGCACCTGAAGAGCGTTGGTCTGATGCGCTCCTTTGCCCGCGATCAGACGACTCACCCGGCCTTTGCACCGGCCGCCCCAGACACCATGCCGCTCGGTACGTGACACTCTGTGTGTGTGTGTGTGTGTGTGTGTGTGTGTGTGTGTGTGTGTGTGTGTGTGTGTGTTCAGGTGAAGGAGCAATACCTGTTGCCTTGCGCCTCGCGTCCTGACAATGCTGCTTCTCATCTTTGCGCTGTTTACACTGTTACGCAGACGCGGATGGGCCAAGTGTGCTTGTGACACATCCCCACGACCTGCTGCTGTTGGAGCCAACAGACACGCCCATCTCTCGAACACTCGTGTCCCGCACAGCCAGTTGAATTGGCGAGCGCTTCCTGCGAAGTCACTGGCTGCATGTGTCGTAGTGTGTTGGTTCGTTTGTTTTGTGCTGTTGTTTTCTTGAGCCTCTTGTACAAGATCATAAACACTGTTATAGTTGCTCACGCTTCGTTGACTTTATGTTAGGGACAGGAGTGAGTGGTGGCAGTGCCTGAGGAGGGACCTTTTTGTACAGTTGCCTGCATGCATCACTGCGTTGGATGAGGGAAGGCATGAAGAACATGGACAAGTGAAAGTGAAGAGCGAATGTCAACGCGAAGCGACTCGCCAACGTGAACTGCATGACAGCGTTACGGGCGATGTTACATTGTTACAACCTAAATCGACTGTTCCCACGGCACGTGCGAGTGCCATCATTTCATCAACCAGGGTTTAATATTAACATAAAATAACATAAGTCGAGATGTTCTTTGTCAATGCAACCAAACACACACAAAGGCTCAACTTGGCGTCGCCATGGAACGATCTTGCACAGTTTTGAGATTGTCTGTGGTCTTGCGCGTCTGGGGGTGTTTTGGCCCAAGCTTGGTCGTGAAGATGTTCAGGGCGCGTGTAATGTGGTCCAAGGCACTACAGTGGTCACCCAGGTGCGAGAAGGCGATGCCCATGTTTTCCAGCGTCTTGGCGGTGCTCGTGTGGTCTGGTCCCAGCACACGCTGTTCAATGTCCAGTGCCGTGGTGAGGAAGGCAAGCGCGCGGCTGGAGTCGCCCAGTGCATCGTACATGTTTCCCATGTTGCTGTAGGTCTGTGCAGCACTTGGGTGTGTGTCCAGGTCGTTGTGTCGGTAGACCTCCAACGCCTGCTCGTACCACTTGATTGCCTCCCTCGCATCATCTCGCTCAGCATGCACTTTGCCAATGTTGTTGTACAAGGTCCCAAGTATTATGTGTGTGCGACCAAGAGCAGCAAGCACAATGTCCAGTGCTCTCATGTACGCCTCAAGGGCCTGGTCCAACTGGCCACTGTTGTCGTAGGCAAGGCCAAGGTTACTGAGGGTCATGGCGGTTGTTGGATGGCGCTCGCCGAGGGAGACAGTGTAGATGTCGACAGCTTTCTGAAACAGCTCAATCGCTTGCGCATACTCATCCGTCTCCAGGTACAGCGCCCCGATGTTCGTGTACGAGGTAGCTGTCTGCGGGTGTCCTTCCCCGAGCACTTTGCGGCGGATTGCCAGCGTGCGCTCGTGGTATTCAAGCGCACGGGCGTAATCGCCCATGTGCTGGAATGTGCTGCCGAGGTTGTTTAGAGCTGCGGCCGCGAGGAGGGGCTGTGCAGCATGCTCCTCGCTGCCATCGGCCAAGAAGATCTCCAGGGCTTGCTGGTAGCAGTCGATGGCTTTGGCGTAGTCGCCCTTGGCACGAAACGCCTCGCCAAGGTTGTTGTACGTCTTGCCGGTGTTGTGGTGCATGCGCCCGTTGGTGGCAGTGAAGATGTCCAGTGCCTTGTGGTAGTATTCAAGCGCCTTGTCGTTGTTGCCCTGGCTATCGTGTGCGTTGGCAATGTTGTTGTATGCCTTGCCCACGTTCTCGTGCTCGTGACCCAGCTGCTCGATAGAACATGCAAGGTTTTTGTTGTACAGGGCAATGGCCTTGCCCCATTCGCCAAACTCATCCATGACGTTGCCAACCTGCCGGCACGTGAGTGCGTACTCGCTGCTGTGGGTGTCGCCTTTCTGCTCCATCTCCACCACAAACGACTCTGCCATGTCCAGGCACCACGCTCGCATCTGGTCCTTCACCGCCTTGTTGAGCTGTTGGAACCCAACGCTCTCCTCAATCGCCTTGAAGATCATCTCCCTGTCCGCTGGCTCGTGTGCTTGTGCATGTTCTGCCCGCACATCCACCAGCATGTTGGTGATAGCGCTTGCGTCAGTGGTGACTGCGCGCCTCAGTTCTTGGCGTTGGTGCTGTGGCAGTTTGATCTCCAGCAAGACATCATCCCCTCGGCTGATGGCGCAGAAGATTTCCCACAAGCACCAAGCGCGCGTCAACGGCACAGGGTCACTCCAAGGTGTCAGCACTAGCAGCACTTGTCCAATCGACGCAATCGCTTCCTTAAACGTCGTCCCGATCCTGCACAGGACGTTTGTGTGTGCGTGCGTGAATGTGTGTGTGTGTGTGTGAGTGTGTGTGTGAGTGAGTGTGGGTATGTGTTGTGTGGTACGGGTGTGATGAGCATTACGGAAGATTCTGTAGTACCATGGAGAAGGACGTATAACCCACAGGCACAAAGACACACACACACAGACAGGTACACACGCACACACCCACACACAGACAGGTACACACACACACACACACACACACACACACACACACACACACGCACGCACACACACACACACTCTCTGTCTCACACGCACACGTACTGCTCTTGCGTCAGGCTGGTCCTGTGGGATGGATGTTGGTTGATGCAAAACAGATCAAACCAAAAGAACGTCTCTTTCTTGGTTCCATCATCTTCATTCTTGTGTTTCTCGTCCTCCGCCTCGGCATACTCCAGCATGGTAGTGAGCACGTCAACAATCTTGTACTGCCACGCATGTGAGACAAACACGGTGGCTGGCCTAACCTCTTCTGGGTTGGTGCTTCGCAGCAGATCCACAACGCTGCACTGGGTCTCGCGTGTTCGGTGCATGACAGGCTTGATGCACGCGTCTGCTGTCGTCACGTGATCAAAGCCGCCCGGATAATAATCGCCCAGCTGTGACATGAACCGCCTGACCGCGGCGACCGACACTCCATCCATGCACATGGGAGTGGTTGTCGGCGTTGTCGCCATGATTGCGGCCAAACAGCACAAGATTATTGACGAAGTTGCCAATCAATTGTCGACAAAGCAAACAACCTCATTTTTCACCAAACACCTTCTTGCAACAACAACATGCATCGTCAAACTCAAACGGCGCTGACGCCACGTCGCGCTTTGATGGCTGTGTGTCTTTCTGCCATCCTACACGTTCTTTTGCTCTTGTGTTCAGCCGCCTCAACGTCCTCAACCCCACTTCAGCCACTCAAAACGGTGTGGTTCAACAGCAACAACAACACCACCAATATCAACCACAACACCAACAAGAACAACAACAAAGTCAACTACAACAACGCCGGCGGAGTCACGGCCCGACATCAGAACCCCAGCATCTTCGCACCGGTGCGATGCAAGAACCCAATTCCACTGGCATCCATGTTTAAAGGGGGCGTGGACCTGACTGCGGTCGAGCTAAACGCGCTCCCTGAAGCCAGCATTCGAGCCGACATATTGGACTGGACATGCTCCCAAGGCAACACATACAATGACTATGACGTCCCTGACCAAATCGTAGGCCTTCGCCCCATTCCTTCTTCTGAATGCTCCATCGCGTCTTGGTCCGAGTCATTCCTGTTCAAGGCGTTTGAACACCTCTCCCTCGACTTCTCCGAGAATTACTTCTTCGGCCTGCTCTCCACTTCCAACACCTTTTCGGAATCTATGTCTGCCATGGTTTCAAGCAACGCCCATGTCGGTGTGGCCGCCTGCAGCGTGACAACGTTTGAGGTTATCCTCGCACCAGCTTGGATGCTGACGCCCGGCGAGAACCTGGTCAGGGCCATTCAGCACTTTGTTGGCGCAAATAGCACCATTCGTCCGTACAGGCATCAGCCCGACCACCTTATGCGACGCCAGCAAGAGGGGCGACGACAGCAAAGGGGAAGGCACGCGCCCACTCCCCAGGATGCAGCGGGCACGCGGTGTGTCCCATTTTCTGCGGACACGGTGAACAACTACAACCAGCTTATTAACATGTTTGGCACTGGCTTTCTCTCGAACGGCACGGTGGGAGGCGTGGCACAGTACTTCTTCGCGTCAGAGAACATTGTGACAGACTTCATGGCCGAGGGCGACATAGCGGCGTCGGCCAAGGCCACGCTATTCAACCTCGTTTCAGCGGCCGGGGGTGCTTCTGGGCACATGGACGTCAACGCGCATTTCAATGAAACATTGGCATTCAGCTTTTCGCGCGCTTTTGGCGGTGATGTGTCCCCATTTGGAAAGCAGCAGCAGTGGCAGACCTGGGAGAAGAGCGTGTTTGACCACCCCAGCGTGGTGCAAGTGCAGACGCAGAACCTCTCCAGCCTAGTGCTGCAGTGGCACGAGGACTGCGGGCAACAACTTGCACTCGCAGAGCAGAACTACAACCTGCGCGCCTTCCTGGGTTCCCAGGTCACGCAGTTGCTGCAGCTGATCTCCAAGTACCTGACGTCCCAGCAGTGGCCCACGTGTGAGTTTGGGCCAAACTCCACGCATTGCCTGCCACACAATCTTGTTAACCAGAGCAGCGCACTCCAGAGCAACATCAAGCATGTGCTCAGCAGCAAGCCCGTGACGCCACTCGGTACCGCGTTCCTCATCGCTGCAGAGGTGATTCGCCTGGTGAAGCAGGTCCCATATCCAGCACCGAAACGTACCCATTCACAGTGGAAGTCCCAGCACTCGGGCGCCATCTCCAACGCAGCGTTTTGCGGCTTGGCACAGGCGCAGGTTGGCTTTGACACGTCCGTTGGCAACCAGGGCATCTCAATCGCCCCAGCAACGTGGGGAGCAAGCGGTGGCTACACGCGGTGGAACTACAACTCAGGCAGCAACTATGGCTTCGGCGCCACCAACTGCATTACGTACACGAGCGCACAGGACATGGCTGTGGGCGACAGCGACTATAACGTCACGGTGATTGACACTCACAGCGCCAGCACGCTGCAGCTTGGCGCCTACTGGCTCTGTGTTCCGGCCACGTTTCAATCTGGGTTCGATTCCATCGTCGGAGATGCCGACCTGTCCGTCACGGTGGATGGCAACGGCGTGTGGACGTACCAGCAGCATGGCCACAAGCCTGACATGTCCACTGTTATCTGCGCCAAGCACTCGATGCCGAACGTGCCAGAAAATGTGGTTCAATACACGAGCGTGCACGACGGGCAGGTCGTCGACAAGCACTTTGTGTGCTGGCTTGGCGGGTTGCATTATGGTCACAACTCGAACATTGGCAACCAATTCGCCGCCATCCAGCAGAATAAGGACGGCACGTGGACCTACACCAACACTCAGCATGAGCCAGCCACCATTACTTGCGTTGGCTGAATGGACGAAGCTTGCCACAGCGCACGTGCGTTTCCGGTCCATTTGTGTGGGAACATCGTGACACTTTTCGCCTGGTTCTCTTTTCTTGCGCGTTCGTTTCTGTTGTTACATGACAGCGCTTTTTTTTTTTTTTGTGTGTGTGTGTGTGTGCGTGTGTGTGCGTGTGTGTGCGTGTGTGTGTGTGTGTGTGTGTGTGTGTGTGTGTGTGTGTGTGTGTGTGTGTGTGTGTGTGTGTGTGTGTGTGTGTGTGTGTGTGTGTCGCGTGTGTGCGTGTGTGCGTGCGTGTGCGTGCGTGTGCGTGTGTTTTGTTCTGTGTTGCACACGCACGATGCGTGAGTTTGTGTGGTGGGAGTTGGCCGTTACCGGACGTTCCTGGACCCTCCCTTACTGCGTTGTGTGGTGTTACATCTTACCCCTGTTGCAAGATCATCGTCATGTGGTTGAAGGAAGTGAACAAATCATCCCACCAGCACCATCATCATCCATGCGCCTCTTGCTTGAGAATGAAGGGCTCTGTCAACCTCGACATCAAAAACAGTAGCGACAGCAAGATGGCGCCGTTGCTCAGCCGAACCGCCAACGATGATGATCCTTTGATGATGATGTTGATGACAATGACAATGACGGGTGCTGGCGACAGCGCCAAGGCCGCTGCGGGATCATGCGGCGACAATGGATCGACAACAAGCAGGAGGAGGAGGAGGAGGAGAAAGATGGACTGGAAAAGCGTGTCGTGCTTGCTGATGGCGTTGCTGCTGCTGTTGCTTTCAACCGGGCAAGGCGCGGTTGCCATGAGCAGAGCACAGCGCTCAGCGCTCGCGTAAGCATTCGGGGGTGGACATGCTTGTCGTGATTGTGTGGTCATGCGTGGACATGTGTGGACATGTGCGTGCATGTACACATGCTTGTCAATCGACAGTGCTTGTTGCTGATCATCGGTGGGGGGCGGTGTTGCATTTGGGAGAATTAAGTTGCACGTTCAGGAGCCTTGTATGTATCTGACTTGCCTTGCTCGGCATCTTGTTGTTGCGTGCTCATCTGCAAACAGGGCGCAAGTGCAAGAGATGTTCCAGCACGGTTACGATTCCTACATGGTGTGTTTGTGGTTGTGTGCCCAGGTCCACATATGCATGTGCGTCCCTCCCCGCGCGCGTGCGCGTGTGCGTCTGTGCAAACAGCTCGCGAGCATGTTCTTGACGGTTGGGAGCCATTGGAAGAGCTGACATGCAAGCACGCATCATGCTTGGCGGTTCTGCAGGAGCATGCATTCCCTGCGGACGAGCTGATGCCACTCAGCTGCCGTGGGCGAATCAGAGGCATTACACCAACTCGAGGAGACATTGACGATGCACTCGGCCGGTACGCAAGTAGAGAAGTATGTGTAAGTGTGTGTGTGTGTGTGTGAGCGTGAGTGTGCGTGAGTGAGTGTAAATGTGTGTGTGTGTGTGCGTGAGTGAGTGTAAATGTGTGTGTATGTGTGCGTGTGTGTGTGTGAGCGTGTGTGTGTGTGAGTGTGAGCGTGTGTGTGTGTGTGTGTGTGTGTGAGCATGTGTGTGAACACTTGTGCGCGTGTACACCTGCGTGCGGCGCGCTTCGTCGTTCTGCTCATTGTTTGCACTTGCACGAACTTCCAACAACTGCCAGGTTTTCTTTGACGCTTGTGGATTCGCTCGACACACTGGCGGTGCGATTGTTTCCATCGACAGCACGCGTGCTGCTGTGACTTGTCTGCTCTCACCCCGCAGCGACTGCACAACCGATTACTCAACGGGCATTTCAGTTCCCAAGCGCTTGCTTGCTTCACAGCTGCATGCACTCACGCCACCATCTCTGGCGTTGCAGGTCCTGGGGAACATCAGCGAGTTCAAGCGGGCTGTTGGGTTGACCTTGCAACACGTGTCATTCGATCGCGACATTGTCGTGTCCACATTCGAAACGAACATTCGCGTGAGTTGCGTGCGTGTGTGGGGGGGGGGGGAGGCGGAGCGACAGTGACAGTGCAAACCCACAACTTCCTCGGGAATCACTTGCCATGCTACTGGCCCTGATGCCCCCACCCTTCCACCACCACCACATCATGATCTTGTTCCATTGTCAGATGCTGGGCGGGCTGTTGGGTGCGCACGCGGTCGTGCTGGATTTGCGGACCAAGCATCCCGTGCATGCGCGTGACCCCTTCTTTGCACAGTACGACGGACAGCTGCTGGCGCTGGCCGTTGATCTCGGAGACCGCCTCCTTGCCGCGTTCAACACAAACACAGGTCAGCATGTGCTCTGTGTGTGTGTGTGTGTGTGTGCGTGCGTGCGTGCGTGCGTGCGTGTGTGTGTGTGTGTGTGTGTGTGTGTGTGTGTGTGTGTGTGCGTGCGTGTGTGTGTGCGCGCGCGCGCAGAATTGTGCTGTGTGTTTACATGTGGGTATGTGTGCACGTGATCTTCTATGAACATGCGCTGTGGGTCGATCGTGTCAACCTCCACATCGTGGTCCATTCATGATCGCTCTTGCAACGTCATCCTAGCGCACCAGTGCACACGATATTCATAACCCCCAACGCCCATCACTGTACACCTCAATCCCGCTATCTTCCCCACCACTGCGCAGGGCTGCCGTATTCGCGGGTGAATCTCCGCCGCGGCATCGACGATCCGCTGGTTCGCGCCAACGACGTCACGTGCACCGCGTGCGCCGGCACCATCATCATGGAGTTTGCAGCCCTCTCACGCTTCTCCGGCGACAGCAGATTCGAGGTGGGCAGGACTTAGAAGAGGGCAGGAGGGATTTGATGTCGTGAAGTTGTGTGTGTGTGTGTGTGTGTGTGTGTGTGTGTGTACGTGTGTGTGTGTGCGTGTGTGTAGACGTGTGTGTGTGTACGTGTGTGTGTACGTGTGTGTGTACGTGTGTGTGTGTGTGTACGTGTGCGCGCGTGCGTGTGCGGAGGTTGTTTTGTGCGGTTGAAGGCGTGTGGGTGAGATGATCCATGCACACACGCGTGGCCCAGTGTAGTTGCATGCAGATATGTGTGCTCATGCGAATGCCATCGTATCACACCGCAGAACGCTGCGCGTCGAGCACTCGAGTTTCTGTGGCAGAGCCGACACCGCAAGACGCATCTGGTCGGCACGACCATCAACATCACCAGTGGCGCGTGGATCAGACAAGGTGTCGTGGACAAAAACGTGTGCCCGTGCGACTGTGCTCACGTTGCACGCACCTTGCACGCACACTGCCGCAGAAATAGCACCTGCTGGCCATTTGAGCTGATGTGTGCTGGCATGGCTGTGGTGGTTGGATTTGTACTGTCGTCATTCTTCTTTCTCACCTCCTGTCTTCTTCTTCTTGGAACACATGTTGCGACAGAGAGCACCGTTGGCGCCGGCGTAGACAGCTTCTTTGAGTACCTCTTGAAGGCATTCATCCTGCTCGGTGACCAGGTGTGCAGTCGTGCGGGAGGCGAGGTTGTGTCGTGTGCACATGGCCTCGCTTGCGCACATTATTTTTTTGGCGTTTGTTGTCCTGTGCCCATTTGCATCCGTTGTGCACTCAGTCGCACACGCTCATGCTTACACGCACTCATTGCGCTTTGTTGTTGTTGTTGTTGTTTAAGTTGTTGTTTTCATTGTTGTTGTTTTCATTGTTGTTTAAGTTGTTGTTTAAGTTGTTGTTTAAGTTGTTGTTGTTGTTGTTGTTGTTGTTGTTGTTGTTGTTGTTGTTTAAGTTGTTGTTGTTGTTGTTGTTGTTGTTGTTGTTGTTGTTGTTGTTGTTTAGTTGTTGTTGTTGTTGTTGTTGTTGTTGTTGTT